GCTTTTTCACCAACTCTGGGGTTCAACGACCCTCTGTCCCAACTCAAGGGAGCTTAACTCAATGGAGACAATAGACCTGTCCACAACGTGCAGCGCCGTCTGAATCGTTGCCGAAAGGAACGCCGGGCATGGTAGGTGCAAAACCGGTTCTAGCATGACAATGAACGCGACAGGAAAAACATGGGTAAGCGGGTGAGAACATGCGAGCAACTGGGTATCCTCTCCCTTTTTTTCATGCTCTCTTCAGTGTCACGCGGTAGATGTTGCCACAGGACTTCTAGCCTGACCTTCCAAGTTTTTTGCTGATTTGGGCTTCTGTTTGTTTCGGAGATGAAGCTGTGTAAACGGCATCGAACGAGCGCCGTCAGTGAACTCTGAAAAGATGGCCTATTCTAGCCGAGCGCCGTCGCAACTTTCTGAACATCTGCATAGGGAGCAGAAACGCTTTCGTAATGACACCGCCTGCCAGGATTACACCTGCCTCGCATGTTGCTTATTGCTGTTTTCCAAAGGGCAGCTGGAAATTAATTATTTTTGTTGCCTTTTCCAGAGGCAGCAGACCGAGCATGACAGTCACCAGTTTTCTGGAAGGAATGTTTCCAACTCGTTTGAGAAGAGCGGCTCACAGATGCCTCATTTTAGCGGAGGTAACCATTTAATGGATGCTTCCAATTTGTGAACCACCTATATTTTGAGGCAGATGGGTCACAATGAATGCTTTCTTTTTGGAACCCAGGTGCAGTAGGTAACACAATGGGTGTGAATTACCTGCACCTACCATCTGTGGATTTTTTCTGATAGCTGCTTCGAACACCCCCCAATGGTAGGGACGTAACGTGCCCCAAAAAAATTAAAACTGAACCAGGTCTGTAACTAGTAACCAAATGCAGGTTTTTCTCTTTGGCAGGAGATTTTAGGAAGGATGCAGGCACAAAAATATACAATGAACGTACAAGATGTTTAATCTGATTTCATCGAACAAGCTTTTCCCATGGACGGATGTTTGTTTACGCAAGCTTTCTGTCAGGGTGATCAGTTTTTTTGGTGACTGGTGAATACATGAACGTTTACCCCGACGTTATTTTTTCTCCGTAACCCAGTCTTGCTGTGTTCAAGTGAACTAAAGCTCCTTGCGAAGGGTCACTGGACACGCTGCTCGGCTTGCGCGGCACCTCGAACACTGCGAGGTGCCGCGCAATGCAACGGAGACCGCCGAGTGACGTTAACCGGTCCAAGCTCATAGCACACCGATGAGGTGCGTGCCGGCATGGAATAATTCACGCGCCGCAAAACAGTGAAAAATTGCGCAGCCGGGGGTAATATGACATTGCCTAGCGGCATGATGGCAATAGAAAAAAATCACCACTTCGCGCGCAGATCCAAACAAAAAATATAATAGACGCAGCGCCTGCTGCGCGGGCTGCGTACAACGGACGCTTCCACTTCGGTTGTCCTAAAAGGACTTTATGTTGTCGGTCCGTCAACAAGCTTTCGAACTTCGAACAACCTGGGGGAAAACGGGGCGAGGCACCGGACCATTTCGTCAGGGACGCTCGTTTCGGATCGGACTAGGACGAACCCGATTCGCGTAGAGTGCGGTAACCCTAATGCCGTATTCCGTAGTTAGGACTACGCCAAATCGGCGGCAGCGGCGGGGCTATTTTTATATATAGGCTCTCCGGCAAAGGCGCGTTTAGACGAGATCCGAGAAGGGGTTGTGATGACGAACGGGGAGGGCGCGGAGGAAAGCTGCAGCCAGAATGGACTCGGTCGTTGATGGAAGACTCCGTGGAGCGGAACGGTGAAAGAAAATTGCACACCGAACATACCTGTGGGTTTGTGTATTATGATGCGCCCTGCGCTGCTCGTGTAGCGCCGCAGGGAATCCCGCCACCGAAAAGCGACACGAGGAACACACAAAAGTTGGCCGGTTCACTGACGCTGCACTCTCGCACAACCCTGGAGACAGACGCCAACACGCACAACCCATCGACGACGACGCTTGGGGCTTTGCAAACGTTGCCGGCGTTCTTCAGGCCCGCAACGGCCCTCCCAGAACGGGTGATCGAACCTAATCGTCCAGACGTTCTTGCTGGGGTGGCCGAAGGAGCCTCGAGCCTGTGGAAACGCCAGGAAATGAAGAAAAAGGGGGGCGGAAGAAAAAGAAAACCACAGAAAACAGCCAAAGCAGCAGCTATGGCGGCCATGTCTGGGTAGTACCCATGTCCGCCACCACCGTTCCTGCGGCGCCTCCATAGGCGCTTCTAAAAAGTTTTTTTTTTTTTTTTTTTTGCTTTTAGGAGTGCTATAATTGCAAAATATCGATTACCCCACGAGTATCAAGCTCGTTGCGATTAGCAAGCACCGTCCACTGCTTCATTCGTAACACCATAATTTAACATGGGCGAGTAAAAATAAAGCAACTGTCAAGATATCTTTTCTGGACTACTGTTTACTGCGTACTTATAATTTTTCGGATGAGCTCAAACGCCGTTCTGCCGAAATACCATTTTTGCCCCCGCCACACATCAATGGTCGCGAGACAGGTGCCCGCGACCCAAATGCGCTGGCTGATTCATCGACTGCAAATGGACTTCCCATCCACACGATCATGAAGGTCGACCCAAGAGCGCAGGCCGTTTCCCAGATTGCACAAATTGCTGCAGGGAAGGCTACAAGCGCGAGCTCCTTGCTCTAGGGCACGTCTCGGCAGCACAGGCTCTCGTGCACCAAGGCAGCAGCCAACGCAATGAACTCGCGCTTCTAGCCTTCGCTGCGGTACAACATAAGGTGAAACTGGGTATAGCAGGTACTTGGTCGTGTGAATGGAGAGTTCTCAAATCTCAAACGCAACAGCATGTACTAAATTGCAACTGGTTTTTCCTCTACTCCGGGGATGCCCGCAACTGCGAACACTACAGAAGTTCAACAAATGCCGACGTAGCAGGACAGCAAAACGTCCGTGGATACCTGTAGACCCTCACCGATACACAAAGCAAGAAAGACTCCTCTCAGGCTTATCAGGACAGCAAAACCAACCCATGACCTTTACGTTAAATATTAGTTACTGTTAATGTTCTTTGTTACTGCTAAGTTCCTGTAATACTGGGGCACCACAGGCTTCAGGTACAGGCCAATGGCCCTTTGGGATGCTGCGACCCTCCAGGATCGAACAAGGACTACCTATCTAATCGAGAAACGAAATAAAATATAACCAGGTAGGGGAGACCGGACTTTTACTAAAAGTTGTAAGCACACTAGGCTCAACAGGACCTCGAGACCAAGCCGTGTTCGAAGAGAAACTTTGCGACCAAACGACAAAATGCAACAGCAGAATGGCACGCAAAGCTTTGGCTTCAAACTACGACAGTCCAAGCATCCCAGAACCAACAATGAGGCCACCAACAGTTGCCAATTCGAACCAAATCACTTTATTCCACATCAAATTACTGGCATCCATAAGAAAAGCTAGCTACGCTTATACAATGTCGAATTTCAGCAGCGCAGTGTCAAAACCAAAGCTTTGGCCATAAGGGCAGCACAAGAGAAACCCAAACTTCCCTAAGCTAACATTAATATGGTGCCAGAAAGACTACAGAAGAGCATCTTCGGCGCAGGCTTCACAAGACTGCTCGTCCCGCGGGAATCTGAAACGAACAGGATCGGTAAATATCGAAAACCGTTGCTATTCAAATCTTACCAAACCAAGGGCCACAGGTCAGGACTCCGGCAGCAGGAACGCAGCAAGAACGCAGCAGGACCACAAACTGCAGAGGCCCAACCCACATCCAGGTCCCACCCCGTGTTAGCCCCACCCAAGCCAACCCCGAGGGAGTGTTGACCACAAGTGACCCCTTACATCGAGCAGATGTTGTGTACGTGTTACCAAAGTGACCCCCTTTAACTTCTTGCCCCAGGGTGAATCCGTGTAGACCCCGGCGTGTAGAGTAGTGGATTTGGTGCGAGCGACAGTAGATTGTGTTTGTTTCAGCCACACACCAGCCATACCATAACAGCCTCCCCCAAACACACCGTCCAGACAGCTCGCTCGCACCATGTCGCCAGTCACACAGCAGATACCGACTGCGAACACGGCGTGGTGGGCACGGCTTTAATTCAAGTAGGGCACAGCATGTTCAGTACAGACGCATTGCCTAGCCAAAACCGTAAATTCACCCTAACACCGTACCTGACATAGAAATAAGGCCTACACAAACGCCTGACGCCCTCAACAACTAGTAAAAAAAAAAAAGGCAGAGGAAGTTATACTCACCACCGAGAGAAATCTTCGGGTGCCGCCAACACGCGAAGGGAAGCCGCGACACGCGGACGAACGCGACCGTTGGGAGTCGAGACCGCGCTTGCAACAGTCGACGCTTGGAGTCGAACCAGCGCGCTAGCAGACCAAGGTGGAGGCGACCCAGGGCTCGCAGAGAAGTCGCCTCGAAGTCCAAGCCAGGCACGGGGACCGAGCGCGACGCGACAACGCGAAATCGTAGCAGTCTTCGTCGGCGGACACCCAGCCAGGCAGCAGCTTGCGACGTCTTGACAACGCGAAGCGAGCGCCGACGAGTGAACGACACAAAACACCGGACACAGGAAAAGGGACAGGCCAGCGAAAGTCCTTTACTTTTCGTGTCATACAAGCAGTTTTACAGGTACAAGTTCCAGGCACATACAAAATCGTACACATTTTTTTTGGCGACATCCTAACCAAGAGTTTTAAGACATCCTAACAAACCCTAACGGAAGCATGCACCACCCTTGCGAGGTCAACTTATACCCTTTGTATACGGAGCTAGCTTGCGCCACATAGCGAGCAAATTTTCTTTCCAGGAACAAACCTCGCAGAAGCAGTGAACACGCGGCCGAACCGTTCGTCGCCGCAAACCACGTCGCATGACAGGCGACTTGCGACGATGAAGCGGTCGACCATTTAGGGAGAGGAAAGACAGGAGGGGCATGGGGGCGGGGTGTGTGGGTTGGGGGAGAGTACCTACCGTGGGAAGGCGTAGACTGCTGCTTGTCCGGGTGGTAGTTGGAAGGTCCAGCGATGGCCGGCACGCCCGACATGTCCGTGAACGCCATCATCATGGCGCTCGACGAACCATCCGCGGAGCCCGCCGGCTGCGGGGGAACCACGGGGGAGATGGCTTGCTCGTCGAACGGCGGTATTAAACTAGACGGGGAGGGCTTGATGTCGACTGCGAGACAAAAATGGAACCGTCAGCATAATGAAGTGTGCGGAACACAAAAACGATCGAAACGCCACTCACGTTGACTGGAGATTGAGATGTCTGAAGGCAATGAGGCAGGAACAGGAACTAGCGCAGAGTTGTCGGACGTTGACCCTGTGTGATGTGACTGTTGCGACTCCGACGCTAGCGCCGCCGCTTGTGATGATGATGCGACGTCCGCGAACACTGGCACCTGCGACGCGACAAGCGTTGGGTTAGACTCTGCACGCCCCCGCAACCGACAAAGCACGCCACTCAGGGCCGTCACACGTACGTTTTCGGTCGTCATCGACTGTTCCATGAGGTTCGACGGCTCCACCTCAAAGTCCGCATCGTCCCCGTCCACCCCCGTGTCGTCCCCCACCGAGTCCTGAGTATGCTGCGACGACATCGAGTTGGCCGTCAACGCCGACGCCGGCAGACCCCCCACCACTTTGTTACTGAGCGCCACCGTCGACGCCGACGAAGACACTGCCGTCAACACAGCCGCCGACGAAGTCCTCGCCGCCGGAGACTCCGCGGCCACCGCTGCCGCAGTCACGCGGTCGCTCGACATGCTGCCGTCCTCGATGATCTCCGGAGACTCGGGCGCCTTGATGCGCGTCGCCGGCGGAGCTCCCTGGTCCTCGGAGTCGGACTTGTTCGAGTCGCTCGGCGAGCGTCTCCGCGGCCGGCCTCTTTTCCGCTTCGACATGGGCGGCGACTCGGGCCGCGCAGTGCTGATAGTCCTCGCGTCTGCACCATCCACACTCACCAGGCCGTGCCTGTTGTCGCCCGTCACCTCAGCCAAGCCTTTTACTTTCAGCGTTTCGGCAGTCTTGAGCAGCGCCGACAGCTGGTCTTGCGACACATTCACTTCGCCCTTGTACATGAACTCTACGATGGCCTTGAGGTCCATGTAGCGCATGTCTTTGAGAATCACGATGGGATGTTTGCAGGGGTTCTCGACGAACAGCGCTTGGAAGAACGGGCTGCACGCAGACAGGACCATTTTGTGCGCCTTCAGGGAGTGACCTTCGCAGGCTAGCGTCACGTCCACCAGCGCTTCGTTGGATAGGAGCTGCTCGAACACAACCAGCATGTTCGACTGGTGGTTGTTCCACTTGAGGCAGAACTGCTGGGACCCCATCTTGAGCCCCGATCTTGTGCCGCCGCGACGTCAGCTGCAGAAAAACAAAGCACCGCTACAATATCCGGCCACAATCCCAAAACGGCGGCGACGACGACACGCAAAACTGTAGCCGTACGCACGGTCCCACAAAAATCCGATTAGCAAAACCAAAGCGTCACCACGCAAAGATGGCGACCGCTTCAACATGAAAATCAACATGGCGGCTACTCCCTCCCGGCAACTGTTCAACATGGCGGCTACTCCTCCCTCGCTACGTCGAACAAAGGCTACCTCAGGATCCGCTCAAACGAGGCGCAAATGCATGCCCCAAGCAACTTACTCATTCTTTTTTTTTTCTCACGATTTACGACCTCTCACTTCAACGAAAGCATTTGGCGTGCTGAATAAGCCCTATGCTGTATTCGGAGACTTCTTAACGCACCAGAATACACGGCACTACGCTGTTAAAATAGAAGCATGAAAATGACCGGAATTGGAATCCGCCGAAATCCACCGCACTACTACAGACAAAGAAAAAAAAAAAAAAAAAACAAGCTCCGGCTTAGGCCTAATAGTTCATTGTGCCCATTACCGTCATCCGACAGCTTCCTGCCACATACGCGGCTAATAATAGAGGCACCCAAACCAAAAAGCCTGCATAATGCCCCCGGCATACCTATTCTGGACTTGGACTAGTAGCTTGCATTCGTCCGGCGTTGCGCGGCTCACCGAAGTGGCGGCCTACGTTCTTCGTGTCCCAAGCGGTACTGAACTCGAGCAGTTCGGGCTGGGGTGTTTTTCCTCCACGGAACCAGCGACGGGGACCCCCAGTTGATAGCACGCACCAATGAGCGGGCGACGCTTATTCCTCCCGCGCTTTTTTGACCAATGGCAGATAGACGAGAGGAGGACGACAAGCAAGGGGAGAGGAGAATAATGGAGGAGAGGTTGCGTGTCGGGCCGCCACGCATGCGCGTTGGCACCCGCGACCCGGTGCGGAAGGCGAATTTTCAAAGATGGCGATCCACGCCGCTTCCGAATATCCTGAAACTAGAAGAAAACGGCCCCAGGCTGCTCTGATTTTATCCGTCTGCTTATCCGAGCACGGCCTGTTTATGGGTGAAGAAAATGCGACGAGAAGTGCGGCCTTGGAAGCTGAACGACGAGTGTGGACCGCGTTTTGTTGCCGGTAATAGCGGCACGGTAAAAACTAAAAACAAAACTAAAAAAAAATGCTGGCGCGGCGCAGATGCAGCCATGCAGCTGCGGCGGAAAGGCTGGGCCGGTGAAGAAGCTGACGCCATGTTGGGAAATGGGCATGGCTGCGTCGTTCACTGCGCTGCGCTGCTGACATGGGCCCAGCGTTCTCGCGCTCTTCAAGGCTCGCGCGTATCGAAGATCAACTTCGTTGAGATGCTCGCACGTGACTGTTTTATGCTCGTGCAGCCCGCTTCTCCTTCTTAGAGCTTGACGGCACTGCGTGAACACCCTGTGACGAGGGCTGAGCTGCAAATGCATTCATTTTATACACACAAAGACCCACGGTTCTGATATGTTAACGTGTTCCCATTTCCTTTGTGTTCTTTAACACAGCCAGACTTTTCCTTTTTTTTTTTTTTTTGTTCTAAGACATGAATTTGCCTTTCTCGAAATCGTAATTCCCCATGTTCGCTTTCCATGAACTCACGAGCGACAATGACAGGCTTTCGAACGTTTCTTGTCTAAACACCTGGAAAGGGCGGTTTCCGAAAAATGTCCATTTGTATTATTTAAAATTAAAAAAAATAATAATAATAATAATTCCTTTATTAGGGTGAATAATTGTGCGCATGGACATTTGCCCCCTTTTCCCGTATCTCAACACTCCCCCCCCCCCCCCCCCCCCCCTGCGGAACACACAGCAGATTTCCGAACGATCCATCAAACGGGATTTTGTTGGGGTCGCTTGTGACCAGGGTAGTTGCAGGACAAGATAAAATTCAGCGCTCGTTGCTTGAGATTATCTCTCAGAACGTTGTGAATGTAGGGGTGTAATAGCTCTTGGAGGATTTTCAGGATCATAGCCAGCGTTAACACAGATCGAACGACCATTATTAACACAATTTCCTGCTTGGCGTTTTTTCTTTTTTTTTTTTTTCAAAAACTTGCAAACACAAACGTATCAAGGGGCTTTAGCGTGTCACAGTGGCGTGTAACCACATCAGCGTGACCTGATAGCTAGAGCTGATGTAACCACATCAGCGGCCAAAACAACAAAGACCAAGACGAAGACAATGTGCCTTGTGTTGTCTTCCTAGTCTCCATCCCTGCTGTTTTCGGCGCTCTTATTATCATCTTTTTTTTCTTTTACCGTGAGCCAATTAGCCTAATTAACCACTATGTTAGAGATGAGAACAGCACTAAGGTCGCGAATATTTAACAGCACAAAAGAAAAGAAATCCTTAACTTTAGTCATAGCAGACGACATATATGGAAATATTCCCGCGTCCTATTTTCTCGTGCAGAGTTCTTCTTTGGCAACTGGACGGGCACACATTTCGTGTCGTCTTGTCAGTTATTTTATTTATCCGTGTCTCAGGGTTTAAATTGTCACGCTTCAATAGTTTTCGGACGCATTTTCCAGCGAGATTCAGCCAAACGGATTAATTCGGACGGCACCGGCAGCCAGCTGCGTGAAAGAGTGGTCGCCATTTTTGCGAAGCCTGGAGCGTAAGGTACTTCAACCAGTTTCCATTGTATTTTGACAGCCAGCCTGGCCAACCCGAGGGCACAGAGCCGTCCCGTCAGCGCTCAGAGAAACTGACAGCAAAGAAAAAAAAAACCGTCATGCCGACATGCCCTCCCTCTTCCGTCGGCCTCTCACCTGCGCGCCGTCTGCGCGTGCACCCATGCTGCCCATGCGCTCGATCGAGCAGACGACCAGACGGCAGCAGAGCAAGAAAACAGGCGCCCAGGTTGCTAGGCAACAGGACCTCTCGCTCGCTCTTCTTCTCGGGTCGCTCGGCGGCTCGGCTTTGCTCACTTCGGGCGCTCGGGTAAGACTCGGGTCTCCTGTCCGCTGAATACATCTTCGGTGGAAGCAGTCGAAATATTTTACTCCGGTGCCTGTTTTCTTCCTATTCTTTTCTTTTTTCTTAAAACAAAAATGTTGAATGAGCTTTTAATTGCACACATGGGTTGCGAGTGTCGCCATTGCTGGGCAGTTGGTACTGATCGGTTATTTCTACTTACTGGTTTCTTCGAACTACAATTGCTGCGGTCTGCAACTAATACCTATGACTAAGAGGCAACGTTGCTAACAGGGCGAACCGAACGCTCGCGGTGCATAAAATACGGGCATGGCCGCGAATGACGTCACATGCAAGCTATGTATACCGTATTTTGCGGACTGTAATCCACATGCTACACAGGTTTAAAACAATTGACATTTTACACGGTGCGGACCAGTGACCAGTGTTACGAAGTGCACTGTACTTAAAGTACTACTTCAAGTAGGTTTAGGAAAATTATACTTTACTCGTAGTACATTATATGTGCGGGTACTCGCACTTTAGTCCAATCTTTTTTTTTTTCTTTTTTTTTTTTGAGGAAAGTACGATTTTTGATTTTGAAGTACATTACACAAATTTGGTCTTGTTAAATTTGTATCACAAAAGGATACTTCGTCAACCCAGAAGAATTACTGGGGGAGGAATATTCTATTCTGACGAGAAACACGAGCAGACGACGCATTGCTCCGTTGGTAGTGGGTACGGCTTTCCCGCAGCATTTCGAACTCTCGCCACTTCTCACTCGATCAGCGCAAGCGAGGAGGCTAAAAATATTAGGAGAGGACACTCCACCAGAAGTTTCGTCCTAGCAGAGTTGGGGAAGTTCCGCCAACGACGAACAGAGGAAGAAGAACTTCTCGAATGTTGTACTTTACCAGGATCTCGGCCCAACCTTGAACCGGTGTCCAAACAATGGAGGGGGTAATCTTCACATTCGGTAACGCTTCTCGTAAACGTTTCTCTCCTATTACGGAGACGCCTGCCCTAATGTCCAGTTCCATGTCAACAGGCTTTCCTTGAATGATGGCAGTTATAATACTTGGAGGAACATGAGCTGCTTTAAGTTGCCACATGTTGTAGGTAGGGGGTTCATCGTCACTGTCCTGGTCGTTGGGATCGTCGAGGCTGTGAACTGGAACCGCCGATGACGCCTTTTTCGACCGTCGTCCTGGCGAGTTTTGGTAGCCTCGCGGGTTCTGGGGGTGTGGGACAAAATGGTCCCGGTCAAAATAGTCCCGGAAAAAATGGTCCCGGACAAAAATGTCCCAAGTGCCAACCCGGACAAAATAGTCCCAGGTGAATTTATCAATACTTTGAGTGCTCTTAATTGGACAAAATGGTTTGGTACTTTTATTTGAAACACGTTCAAGGATAATATCGACATTTTAATTATAATCATTTGAAACAAATTTTAAATCCCTTCTATTTATACCATGTAGGTCTATTTCTCAAAGCTTATTGATTTATACCGATATATTCCACGTGTGTAATCAATATCTTTCTACCGCCATAACCTGTTCAGAGGCTGAAAAGCTTCTCGGTGCAATTCAACGCATCGCCGGTCGTGACTGAGGAAGCAGTCAAAATACAATGCTGAGCCTTTATAGGGGACTTATTGTAAACCGCTTCCTCTACGCTCTCCCTCTTCTGACAATATCAAACGCGCAATGGAAGAAGCTCGAGCTCTTTCACAGGAAAGCTTTACGCATATGCTTGGGCTTCCCTAAAACTTCGCAGTGCCTACCTACACTAATTGAAGCAGGGGATTCACCACTAGAGCTGCAGGCCCATGAGAGGGCTCTACGACACATGACTAGACTTCACCGTGCCCAGTTAACTTACAAATTCATCGACACACTAGCATCCCGACACCATTCTCGCTTTGGTCAAGTCGCAAAAGCTTTCCGTGACTCAATCGACTATCCGGAAAACGTCCCACCTCTGCCGCCACCGCATCAGGAGTTACTCTTCAAAGTTGCCAAGGAGATTCGTGACCTACCACAACGTCGGCGGGTAGCAGCGGTGATATCCCGGAAAATTGCACTAGAACTAATACACGCAGAATACGATAGAATGTTACATATTTACACTGATGGCAGCATTAAGAACAACACAGCTACAGCAGCGTACACTGTCCCGGAACTTGGCCTCAGCAACATGGGACAGCTTGACACTTGCTTCGACACCACAACAGCTGAATTAATGGCTATCTGGCTAGCAATCACCGAGACACCCCTCCCTCCAGCTCCCCGATCGGTTGTGGTGTTTACGGATTCAAAAGGAGCATTACGCCAACTCATGAACCTGGAGGATGCTTCCCCTCTTGCTCGAACAACTGAAGAACTTGCACAAGCCGCAGGTAGAAATGGAAACACCTTTTACTTACAATGGATTCCTTCCCACGTCGGCATCCATGCAAGGTAACGAAGGCGCTGATGCTCTTGCCACAGCTGCCCACTCCGACAGCTCACCAAGCTTTTTTGTGCATACATACAATTCGGCCAATTCTTTTATTCAAAGAAGCATTAGAATGCTACACCCCGACCCTGAGACAGCAGCAGGATCTCCTCCACATCTCATTCCGAGGAAAATATTTAAGAGAAAAGAACAGGCGCTTCTTCATCGACTTCGAGTCGGATGCGCCAACACAAAAGCACGACTCCACCTCATTGAGCGCTCCTCTTCCCCGCTATGTGAAGCCTGCAACGTGGTGGAAGACCTTGACCATATTTTATGGACGTGCCCATTACTTGCAGACTGTCGTAAAAGCTTCCTTGAAAATGTGAACATAGTCGCCATACCTTCTCCGAATACGAACAAGGTTTTATTTCCAACGGGATCCCGTGCAGTGCGAACAAGGGTTTCTTCGAGCGGTCCTTGACTATTTGTCATCATCAAGAAGAATCGCATCCCATCTATGATGTATACTTACTCCCCTCCCTTCCTCACCTCTGTCCATCTTTCACCCCACTTCCCAGCAAAGTGATACAGCTGTCCCTTCTCCTGGGAGACTAACCTATCACCCTGCATCCCACCTCTTTTTTTGGATTATTTTATTAAAACAACATCACCACCACCACCACCATAACCTGTTTTCAAATTAGCGCTATCGAGCTTCAAAACGATATTCGGAATGA